ATCCTTTCAAGGTGATCACCTCCAGGAAATTTAAGAAAATTTTAGTTAGCATCGATAAATATAAACGGCATAGCAACTATAAGTATGTAAGCGTCGTAGGAATCATTCTACCTAATGATTGTTCTTTTATGAACGAAAGTTCTGTCCGAGATTAAACTACAAAAAAGTGCAAAAATAAAGCAACAGTCACATGAAATGGACGTTCATAATCTTTGTGGCTAATACAGATTTATTATACCTCTCCATGCTTCCATCGATGGCCGACCGAATGACTTCAGAACACTGCATATATTTGCAGGCAGAAGCAACTACTGATTAGCGTTAATAAACCACGACTAACTAAGACCAAAATCATACGACCTACCCACTAACTAAGCATCAGGGTCGCCCAGACAGGCAACGTCATCAGCATTTCTGGGAATGGCTCCCAAGACTTGCATATCACTGTCTCCTGTCCAAACAAAAAGCGTTCATGCACTCCTTGATCATCACTTCGAACTATGAAACCAGTCATCAAAAAATACCTCCGCTTATCATTGTTTCGTGTTCTTGCACTTCGACATCCTTCAGCCATGCCATAATCTTGACCCTCTATTCCTGAAAAACACGAAACAATGATATATGGCTAATCTTGAAGCAGCCACTACGAAAAAACCGATGAATTGCATGAACCAAGGGGGAATACATGAACGACACATATTATGCCTTAAAGCTGGTGTTTGAGAAAGCACAATCAATACAAGGAATAGACTATTCCTAAAGAATCATTATCAGAGAAGATATTTGTTACCTGAACCAAAATAAAGAAAGGAATGTCTCTTCATCCATGGAAACCATCTTCGGTAGCTGAGGATGCTCATTAATGAGTATTACTCACTATCTGCTTCATACCAGGTTGGCAACGAAGGGAAGCAAGTGAGGGCACACAAATGTACAACCCAAACATATTTGGAGGTCAGGAGTTGGCTAGATAATTCAAATGTTTCACATGAGGTAAATAAAAAAGAATGGCTCAACACACTGATCACGAAGCCCAACACAAGGCAGTGTATAATTACGGCTTGCACGAAGCCAAATGCAACTTCTAAATTGGTTACCCAAGCCATGAGTCCATTCTGAACAGTAAATTGAGTGACGAGCCAGCTTAACTTAACCGGAAGAGATTGAATAGTTCTATTGATATATAAACAGCTTGTTTTCTCTGTTTCCACCCAAACATGAAGCTTGCTTTGTCATAAAATTAAGTAAAATTAAGTAGATGAAAATCAAATCTCAAATACATAAAAGATATCTGTGTATATACATTTTAATTTTAATTAAAGTTAATATATATTTTCAAAATAGAGAGGATATTTCTATAATTTTGATATAAAAGATAAGAGGGTTATTAGTGTATTTTAGAGCTGGTAATACGAGCCAGCCCGCCAAAAATGATGGGCTCGTGCGGGCTACTCCAGCCCGCACCGTTTTCAGCCCGCTCCGCTGTGGGCTAGCCCACTTTTTTTTTTTAATTTTTATTTTTATATAATTTCTAATATATTATACAACATAATTGGAGGATTTTAACCCCCAAATTTCATATTTACGTCTTCTCATTCATGTAATTGCATATGTAATACATACATAAAAAATCTACTTAATTAATTTGGATAAGAAAAATAGTCAAATTAATTATTTAGAAAAAAATATGTGTTAGTTTTTCTAAAATAGCTTCTCAAATTATAAATTAATCCTCACATTATTTTATTATAACTCATTACTCAAATTTAAAACTCCAAGTCCAATTTTAACATAACAAACTAAGCTCAAACCTATACAAATAATAATTTTTTTTTTAAAAAAAAGGTTAGGCGGGCTCGCCCGCTAGCCCGCCTTGGCGGGTTCGGGCTGGCAAAATGCTAGCCTACCAAAGTGTGGGCTACTTCAGCCCGCACCGTTGCGGGCTGGCCCGTATCCGCACCGCCAGCCCGCATTCCCAACTCTAGCGTATTTTACTCTTATGATGACGACAACGACAGCAAGTGGAACTCCTTTTCCTCTTGTTTGACCCCACCATAGGAAAAAGGGAATAATAACGCAAAATTTTTTCAGGGTGTACAAATTAAATTGAAAGGACTATGGAAAACTGCGTTTAAGAATGTGTCCAGGTGCCTCTCCTGGGAGCTAGGATTGTTTTTGGTTGTACTCAGAAAATTAAAGTTTAATGCAGAGATTCTGTAGATCCATACGTGTTTGGAGTTAAGAGGAGGGTGTTGGAGGTTCTTGATGTGAAGGAAATAACACACCTTTAAACTGATAGGCTTTTCCCAATATGATGGATTTTTTTTATTTTCGTTTCTTTTTAACTTCATTTTGTTGTTGATGATTCAACTTGAAATTTGGAAAAATAAATGACTCAAAAATGAAACTTAAATTATGAAAACCTCAAAAAGCCACTCGACTAAAGGAAATTTCAGTTTACATAAATAACCAAATGGGAATTTTAAAATTTGCTCAAATAAACATGTTGCTCTTTTTTTCTTTTTCTTTTTTTTTTTTAAACTCTCAAGTCATCCTCAGTGGGCGGCCGGCTGCCGCCATTAGAATTCGAGTGGGTCGCGACAACATTGGCATAGCAATTGTGGCTGGCAACTTTATATAAAGTTGCTGCTGAAAAACAATGTTGCCGCCTGACAAAGTCATTTATTTTTATATATTTTGATATCTTTTTGATGATTTTTTGTCAACTTAATTAGTTTTTTTTTTGCATTGTTTGATTATTAATTGATTTAGTATGTTGTTTTGAATTATTATTTTATAGGGGCAAAATTGTCATATTTTGGTCTAATTGTGATTAATTGATTTTTAAGGACAATTAATGTAACCTTATTTTTTATTTTTTTATCACAGGTTTTCAGGAGAATTAAAAATAAAAATGGAAAAAAGAAGGAGGAAAAAAAAAAAGAAAGAAAAATCGGAACTTTAAATATGAAAAGAAATAGTGTTCTGGCCCGATCATTATAATCAAAGACTTCAAAATCAAATAAAAACTACTTACAGTAAGGTCAAATAAAAAGAATTCTGAAATAAAACTTGTAAGTAGAAGAAAAACGCGTCAAGAACCTGACAATTGACCATTTAAAGTTCGAAACTGAAAAATGGACAGGTGGGAAGAGGGGAAAATGTTACCTGTGATGAGGCTTGCATAACTTTCACATAGCAAGTGAAAAGCATGTCGTAATACTTACCAAAAAAATACTAAGCTAAGAATGCAGTAATGATAGAAGCTAGCCTAAGCCATGCCTCAAAGGAGCCTAAATGCTTGCTAAAGTTCCTAACAAATCCAAAGAACCGCAATTTAACAAATTAAGGATTGTAAAGCATGGAAGAATTATTTCTGTAACTTTCTGGTTAAATCCTAAAGCTATTGTTTATATATTTTGTTTTTATATTCAGAGAAGAAATTGTGGATTAAGGAAAATAATTGATTGTGACGGTGAAACTTGATACTATATGGTATGAATCTTATCTTAGGGATAGTCTGTACCTTCCTCGCCTATTTGGTAATAGGAGTTGAGAAACCAAATAAAAGATGGCTCACAGCTCACAAGCCCGCTCACTGTAAAGGTTCAACTTAAATAAATCACAGCAAGTATCAAATGATTCGGTCTAGGAATAATAATCAACACATCAATTCCTCTACCAATGTCCAACTCGGTCCATATCAAATTAACTGAATCAAATCACGAATAACAAGACAATTCGGTCTAGCTAGTATTCAGATGCAGAATCAGTTCCAAATTGGAGGAAGTAAGCATCAACTCGAGCAAACACATGATTTATCAATCATTGCTCCTAATAATCTCAGCAACTCTAGATAGAAATAATCATTACAATTCTGAAATCTAACATTCAGCCCTACAACTCATCTGATCAAATGGAAGAATTCAGCTTAGAGCAAATGAGAAGAAGAAACTCCCTTCTTCTTGAGGACCAAAGACTCGGGTACGTTCACATCCCTAAGCGAACAATGGAAATCAGCCACGCATGCTCTGGATCTGTGTAAAACTCCAACCGATCAATGCGACAACTACGGAGAAGGTGAAAGTGAAGATGAAAATAGAATCTAAAATCTGGAAGTAGCGATGGAGGTAGAGAGACAGAGTGTCTGTTTGGGATCACAGTAGAAATTTCCTATAAGTACGTTTCATGTAAGCTCAGACAAAACTCTTCTTACATACTTACATACTTGCCTCGTATTCTGTAAATCATTATTAAAAAGTTATTTATAAGCTACTTATAAGCTGTTCCAAGCGGATTAAGAGATTGTGAGGAGATGAGAACAGAGATTCGTGATAATCAGTGATGGTGGAATCCAAGAAGGTTGAAGTTATCCCCATCCCGGAATGAACGGCCAGTGTACAGGAAAATGGAGCTGGTGATCAAAACGCAGCGTCCAAAGTCTATTTCTCCTTTAGTCCCTGGCCTGAAAATAGAGTTTCAAAATGGAAAATGCATCATTAGTCTTAATTATAAAACTCTGGGGAATATCAGCATATTTATTCACAAATTCCAGAAATTATTTCTTTCCCAATTCCACTTAAAATATTCAATTAAGCTTAATAATACTGATAAAAATATAAGAAAATGATACAAAAATCTTTGATAAAATGTGAGTTTATCACCAAGTACTATACATGCAAGCCTCTATGCGACAGGCTCGAAGATTTGAGGCTGAGATTTCCGCAGCCATGTTATGCAAAAAGGGGTAACTCAAATATAATTACTTTTATGGCACAATATAATATAGGGATTGATTAATAATGAGCATTAGACCTTGAGAGAATTATTAATAGAGGGATTGGTTTTGAAGAAACATCGAGCATATACAATGAACTTACGTAGAAAGGTGTATATAAGTCTGTCTTCCACTGACGAATCCCCTTGTATAGCCAGTGTAACGAGCCATTGCTCCATGAACTAAACTTTGAGGAAGAAGCATGCAGTACACATTATCGAAAGCATTGCTTGGAATTGCTCGGATCATGTAGGTTGGATCTGTCGGGTAGAGAAAAAAAGAAAAGGAAGTGCTTAATAATATTCTACCCAATAAACAATGCCATGATATTTTTCTCCTCAACAGAAAATCTGTACAAACCTATATATTTGAGGTTTATGCTCATTGTGGTGTGCTTGGCAAAATGATCCTGTGAGACCAAAGCAGAAAGAAAGTAAAACGATAAATATTCTTCTGTTGCAACAGATTGGTGAGGATCAAACTGAAGAGCACAGGAAATATGGAAAAAATGGAAAAACCTACAATCGACACCTTAATCCTTTGGGATATCCATAGCCCAGCATCTTGAAGAAGCTTGTTTCCTGAAGCATCCTGCTTCTGCCTTGTTCAGACTATGATTACCTCATAAATCATAGAAGCTCCTTCTGAGTTCCATCTCCTCCAATTATGTAAACCTGAGATCAAAGATATATTCAATTGATGCCCGCTCCTAATAATAAGTTCTGGTCAATGCAAAGAAACACAGACCTGATTAATTCCCCGCTGTTGAATACTGTCAACTGTCTTAGTGGATAGTTCCTCCACCGTTCATGGATATCATTCACATTCTTAGGAGTTAAAGTAACTATGTTGCGAGCATAGAAACCCTTGTACCCTCCCTTCACACCACAACAATTAGATGATAAATATGCTAAAATAACAAGTTACGATCTTTTGAATAACAGAGGACCAAAGAAAAAATACCTCAGACTCAGAACTGAATAACTTTTCATTGAGATAAGACACCGTTGATGTACAAAGTCGCATGAATTTAAACAAAAAAAGGGATAAGGTTCATGTTTTATCGGAATGAATTCAGGAGAAAAGGTCCTATGGCACTGAATTTATAAGAAGTTATAAGCTCACGCTATTCTAAATTACTTGATATTATTGACAGAATTATCCACTATACAGATGCAAGAGTGAATTTGTTTCTTATAGTAATGACTTGACTCTTATAATTTTTCCCCCTTAATTTTTCTATCTTTTTTTTTTTTTTAGAAATAAGTAGTTTGCTTTCTGTGTTTCCAAGCAAACACGAAGTTGCTTTATCATGAACGGGACAAGATATGAGGGCAATCATCAGACAAATTATCAGCCCACTCCGTGTTATATTTACCTTAAGTCCCTCCCGGCCAGGAGGGTTGTTTTTGGTGTAACAATCTCAGAAGAGTTTAATGCAGGGATTCTTTAGATCATCCTTGTGATTGGAGTTTAAGAGGAGGGTGTTGGAGGATCTTGATGTGAAGGAAATAACATACACTTGAATCCCTCAAATAGAGAAAAACAGTTTTGTTGCTTTATGATTCCGTGCCACCCATGCCCACACGTTTTATTGGCAAAAAAAAGGGGCCACGCAACTTCCTTTACCACCGGGGAACGCCCACCTCTTAAACAAAGGGGCATATGACACAAAATCGTCCGTACTTTTTTTTTTATTCCTATTTGTGCCCCTCCGTCAAGGCTAGATGGATAGGCTTTTCCCAGCATGATGTTTTGTTGTTTCTGTTTTGTTTCCTTCTGTTCTTGACTATTTCACTTGTTGGACATCGGGTCAGGATCGGTCCTTGATAGGTCCGGCCATTGTAATTAGAATATCCACCCATATACATAAAATATAAACATTAAATTAGAATTTAATATATTACCGGCTATCACAATTGTTGAAAGCATGTTTCTACTTCATTGCTATTATATCTGCCCAAGGCATGGGGAATAATTTTTCTTTTCTCTTCCATTGTGTTCACCACCGTGAGCAACTGAGCATTGCCATTTTTAAAAAAAAAAAAATTCGGCGGTGATATGAACCTTCATATGAAAAACAAAACTCTGTTTGCGTTAAAAAAAAAAAAAAAAACAGCGTAAATATTCTTATGTTTACATCCGCTACGCTAACTTGTTCAAAGTATGAAACTTTACTCCTCCCCCCCCCCCCACATGAGACGATGCCTGTGTTTCTCCTTTTCATATATCCATGAGAATATGCGGGGTACATTGGTATATAGTTTGTTTGCCAAAATCATAACTTCGTAATTTTTCTTCACCTTTTCTTTCCGCTACGATCTCTGTAAGCTCCGTATGATGAATATCTTATGCCTCTGGATTTTTGTTTCACGTTTGCTAGAAGCTTGAAATTTTATATCCACGTGGTTTTCGTGCTAGCTGAATGGTCAACTCTGGATTTCTGATGACCTTTAATGTGCTTCAGTCTTTGCATGGCATATGTGTGCGACTGTTTATAAATACCGAAAATTTCTCTTCACTGTGTTGCTTTCTTTTCCGGGTCATTAGAACTTGAGTTTTTGACCTGTGTGTAATTAAAACAAGCAAATTTAAAGAAAACACGATAAGAAAGATATCTAATACATCAATTATTATTGCCACATACTATGTTTGTTTGGATTTTAGTTTGTTGTAATTCCATGAGATATGGTCATCTGAAGAGGAAGGAAGCTTCCCCTCTCCTTATCTGATATTACCTTATGTTTTTAATATAAAAACTAATTTAACATTCAATTTGATGCTAAATATAAAAGCTCAATTTATTTTGTTTCTCTTCCTAAAACAGTCATGGTAATATTTGTACATATTAAATATTTTATCAAATGACAGTTTTAGGTTTCTAGCTAATACACATTATTAACAAAAGTATTTTAGAAAAAATAACAACTATTTATTACAAATAACTAAACTAATTTTATTAATCTACTTAAGTAAGTCAAATAGCTCTAACATTAAGGGCCGAAAGTAGTATACTTTAAATTTCTGTATCTCTACTCTCCACTGTCTATTTTTGGTACTCTCCTCATTTTGCTTTCTATTTTGGCATTTTAGAAAATCCTTATATACTTAACACTTTTTCACTTAAGATTATCGTGCAATTAAATCAAGACATGTGAATGTTCCATATAATATTTATTCTAAGACAAACTCTCACCATTTAATATCATTAATACATAGTATTTCAAAATCCACTTAAGTTTTCTGCTTTTGTTTCTTGTTGTTTTGGGTCTTCATGTCATTAGGTTTATTGTCTTCTGTGTCCTAACATTTTATTTTCTTTTTGTTAATTTATTTATTGGATTTGTTCTAATCTTCAGTTTAGTCTTTGTGCTACAGTGGGTTTTGTTTCTTTATCGTCATATAAAATTTAAAAAAAAAACACTACTTGTAAAACTGCAAAACTTGAAAAATCATTGGGTTAAAGTGTGTCCAGTCATGTTGAATTATTTTTTAAGTGTATTTAACACTCTAAAGTATTTTACTATTTATCCAGCACTCTAAAATATTTTTCTAAATGAATTCAACATTATAAAATATTTTGTAGCACAATTTTACCATTAAAATATTGATTTTTTTAGGAAGTATTTTTTTCAGGAGCAATTTTAAACTCGCTATTAAATCCATAAAAAGTTCATATTAATATGCACCGTAAAGTATATTTTTCAGTATTTTTAGAATATTAGATGCACCTTGAAAAATATTTTAAGGTATTGAATAAACTACAAAATGCTTTAGAATATGACATGCTATTTTATACTGCTAATATAAAACTGGATTTTCTTCAATTAAGTTTTCTCGTTGGCAAGAAAAAGGAAGGAAAAAACTTATGTTTGGCCTATGTCATTTTCTATCACTATTAAAGGCTTTTTGGGTGCCCTTGAACAATCTCCACCTGTTACAGCGTGGATTTTGATGAAGGCGTTTAATTGGTTGTAATGTTTGCTGATTATTAATGAAATACAGAATTTCTACTTAAAAAAAAAAAAGGCAAGCACTCTCCCTCTTTCTTTGTGAAGGCCCATCTTTTAATAAAAAGATGCAAAAATAGAAGAGGAAAGTTGAAAAGAAAAGGCATCGGATATTTTTCATCATTTCCGTCTACTTCAAGGAAACGAAAGTGGGAAGAAAGTTTGAGGGTCCTTCTTTCATTCTGAGCTATCGTGGGGTTTGGGAGGTGAGAAAATGAAGGGCCTGCTTCTTATCATGTTTAAAATAACATTTTATGTAAGTCAAGGTAAAACTCCTTTCATATATATTCTATAAATTACGATTGAAAAATTATTTATAAGTCAGTCCAGACAATTCAGACACTTGAGATAGGAGGAAACTTTGGTCAATTTACTTGCCCAAGTGATCGAAGGAGGAAGATGATCTGAACAGGCATTTTTGTTTTTTTTTTAAATGTTACAAGAGAAATAATACGGATTTTAAAATTTGTAGTTGATTTCCTTTGGTTTAAATTGAAGTTAGACAGCTTAGCAAATATATCAACGTTCGAAAATTGATGGACGCTGAGCACAAGTTGTTGCTGGTATGAAAGAAATTATAACTTGAATGAGTGGTTAATTGTGGCCAAGACTAAGTAATATGGGGTAAATCATAACGTATATATTTATTTGATTTTAATGTTATATACTTCTTCATTTTACGTATAAGACTCATTTTGTAAAACTTATTTTTTAGTATAAATTATATCATAAAATAAATCTTATATTTAAGATTAGAATAGTATTGCTAAATAATGGCGAAAGCCACGATATAAGTCAACTAATTGCTTCGTTCTCTTCGTCCATATTTCCCGTCTTGTAAGAAAAAGAAGATGCAAAAAAAGAAAAGAAGAATGAAAAAGAAATATCATTTCCGTCTACTTTTCAACGAAACGAAACGAGGGGGAAATTTCAGGTCCTTTCTCAACGAGCTTTTGTGGGGTTTGGTAAATGAGGAAATGAAATTCTGTTGTAGCTTCATTTATTTTCTCCACTGTTATCATGTGGTTTCTCTGTAATCTGAATTGGTGCCCGAATATTTAGAAATTAAAAAATTAATAAAGTTAGAACTTGCAAGGAATGTGTATTGGTTTTCTAAAATATGCATAGAAAACTATTATATGTTTTAGGGAAAACTAATTTGGAGGTCCTTATAGTTATACTCAATTTTGAATCAAGTCCCTAAACTTTTTTTCCTTTTTATTGGATCCTTTAAATTTCCATTGGTAGATCCATTACTCCCTAAAACCTAAAACTGTTAATTAAAACTAACCCCGTTAAAAGTTTCGTTAGAAGTCTAAATCTTCTTCTTCTTCAACCTCCTTTCACCGTAAGTTTGTAACCCCCAAGCTCTCTCTCTCCTTTTCTCATTCCTCAATATCATCTCCTTCCCCCACCATTAAATCTGGTGGATGCTATTTAGAAATCATCCACAAGGCCTTTTGATCAAATATCCCAGAAAATATACCTAATTCACACCCAAGTCATTTTTTATGACACTAATTGAAGCAATAAGATATCTTGAGAAACCAGTGCATGAACCAAATTATTCCTATGTTTCGGGGTAGAGTGCTACTTTGAGATCATATCCATATAAGAACTTTTAATCACTATAGCACCCCAAGTCAAATTTTGTTCAGTTATTGACATCATCCTCAACAAATGAGAAAGAAATGCATACAATTCATCCATTTCTCCTTCCCCAAAATGTTTCATCAGAGTGGAGCCTGCATTGTTATATCTCTTCTTGCATTGGTGAAATGAGAAGTGAGTGTGATTGGTAGCGAGGTGGGCGAACTTTACGTGCTGTTACATTTTCCGAACCAATATCATCATAACAAGATCACGGCGGCTGTTGACTCCGGTGAGACCCTCCACTGTCGCCGTCAGGAGGATCACCTGTCTAAGTCTCCAGAAATCCTCCAAACCGTCATCATTATCGATCATGGTTACCTCCGTCGTAGAAGCAGAGTTGCTGCACCAAGTCATGGAATCCGACATGGCCAAGCCCATATGTGAAGGCGTCCTGGTTGCGATGGGTACAATGGTTCAAGTAATAATAGCAGCTCTGTAGTAAAAAAAGTCGAGCTCTAATGGCATACATGTTGGAGATGGAACGATGACGTGTATAATGGTGGGAAAGGAGAGAGAAAGCTTGAGGGTTATGGTGGAAGGAAGTCGAAGAAGATGATGATTTAGACGGAACTTTCAACGGTGTTAATTTTAACTTGACAGTTTTAGGTTTAGGGAGTAACGCATATAACGGAGGAAATTTAAAGGATCCAATAAAAAACAACAATAACTCAGGGACTTGATTCAAAACTGAGTACAATTACAAGGACCTCCAAATTAGTTTTCCCTATGTTTTAAACACCATTAATTTTAATGGTAATTTTGACTGTATGATAGTTGAAAGTCAAAATATGAAACACCAAGGTTTTTAATTTAAGAAAGATTAGGCAGGTGATGTTACGGGTGTATTTCTGGGATCTTCCTTGAAATTTTCTGAACATTGTGCTTTTTATTTTACTAATCAACATGCCTAACTGTGCCTCAACATGGAAGACTTTTAGCTATTTTTGCTAAGGTAAGCTAAAGCGAAGAGGACAAGACGCCGAACAGAGCAGCGGAAACGTCCGGAAGAGCGAAGATTTCTACAAAGTCTCATCCAACGCAGACTGCTGTTTCGTTTTCTTTCAATCGATTGAGTTCACCCAGGAACGGGATCCAAATACTCATGTATAAACCGAGATCTTGATCCATTCTTGTGCTATTTGGATTAATTCTAGTACGGCGCGGCCCCAAAATTGTTGGGGATCTCATATGGGTTGAATCCTTTTTTTTTTTTTAAAGAAAAAAAAAGGAATTAAGTGTTGCTCCTTTTTCCCCCATTAAGCCAAGAATACAGCGTCATCTCCTGGCTACAAAATTGTTGGGGATCTCATATGTAAGTCTTAGGCTTCGACGATTATATTGTTGAGGGGGCCAGGATTCTGTGGATCTTTGGGAATAAAGAAAAACTATGAGTGGGTCACTTTGCCAAGAGTCTCCGGTCTTTAGGTATTATGCAAATTTTGGTCTATGTGGGGTTTGTGGATCAGAACCGTCAGTTTATCCTGGAAACTGTTTATTATTTCTAACGTGCATAGGAAATCTCTTGTTAATAAATTGACAGTTTATTAATGGTCACTCATTTTGTTTAGCTCTTCCATTAAGATTTGTCAATATGTCCATTCTAATTATTTCTTTTTATGTTATAGTTTTAAAGAAAATAAACTGCATGTTTATCTTCGCTATCTGGACTGAAGGGATCTGACGAAGCTAGCTGGGCGCATAAACAAAAGTCAATGTCTTAATTATACTCTCTGTTTTTTTTTTTTTCCTGTATTTTATTTTTTTAAAATTTTCTGGATTCCAAAAGCTGATGAAAGGGAAATAGCTTTTTATTTTTAATTAGAAACAGACTTTTTCGTATTTAAATACTACATGCAGTATTATACGAGGAACAAAATAAATTTCAACTGCTTACAAATCATATTAAGGAAAACCATAGTTCTGGTAGTCGATCTTTTCATTTCCTGATTGAGACGGAGAAAAGCAAGCAACTTTCATCTTTCCTCTTGCTAGTTTGATTTTCTTTTAGGATAGAATACTAGCTGCTAAGTTATTGGCAACATCTATTATTTTCATGATAAAGTCAATTCAGATCCTCATCATTTTCCTCTTTTAAAGGATGCATATGTTTGTGTCATCGTCACACTTGATAATTTTTCATTCTAAATTTACCCTAACATCTTCATTTCTATCTTCCAGTGCAAGCAATAATTATGACAAGGCGAGCAAAAATATCTTCGATACACTATCAATGGACCTACGATGTCTTCCTCAATTTTAGAGGTGAAGATACTCGTTATGACTTCACTGGAAATCTATATAAAGCTCTTGATCAAAGGGGAGTTCGCACCTTCTTTGATGACAAGGAAATAGGAATAGGGGATGAAATTACACCAACACTTCTCAAAGCAATCCAGGAATCTAGGATGGCCATTGTTGTATTTTCTAAGGAGTATGCCTCCTCAACATTTTGCCTAAATGAACTAGTCCAGATCCATCAATGTATTAAGGGAAATGGTCGACTGGTTTGGCCAATTTTTTATGATGTGGAGCCTTCTGAAGTACGACATCAAAGAGGGAAATATGGACAAGCACTAGTTACCCATGAACAAAACTCAAAGGCTGATGAAGAAAAGATGAAAAGTTGGAAGCACGCACTGCACGAAGTAGCTAATCTTAAGGGCTCATCACATGATCCAAGGTTACTCCCAACTTTTACATTTTTCTTTCCTTCTAATTGATAATTTTTTTTACCTAGCTAGTTTCTATGGCTAGACTAGAAGATAATATTAAAATAATTTTGCATGCATGTGAAGAATGACTTGTATAGATTTAGTTAGAATTGACCGAAATTTCTATTTGGATTTCCAGGAAAGATTATGAGCATAAACTCATTAAAGAGATTGTGAACCATATCTTTAGGATAGTAAAAAGGGTCCCCCTTTATGTTGCCCAATATCTAGTTGGGTTAAATTCTCGAATGCCAAAAATAAATTCTCTATTGCAACTGGGGTCAAATGATGAGGTCATCATGATCGGAATTTGTGGAACTGGCGGAATGGGTAAAACAACAATCACACGTGCTGTGTCTAATGCAATTGCTGATAATTTTGATTATTTGTGCTTTCTCAATGATATCAAAGGAGGATTTGAAAAACATGGCCTACAACAAGAGCAAGCCAGAATACTTTCAAAAATTTTTGGGGAGAAGATAGAAATTGAAGACATTGATGAAGGAGTTGAGCTCCTCAACGAACACTCAAAGATAAGAAAGTTCTTTTGATTCTCGATAATGTTGATGAACGAATGCAACTACAAAAGTTAGCTGGGGCTTGTGAATGGTTTGGTTTTGGGAGCAGGATCATTATAACAACAAGGGATACACAATTACTTAAGAGCCACGGGGTTGAAAGAATATATGAGATGGAGGGATTAAATCATGAAGAATCTCTTGAATTGTTAAGTTGGAATGCCTTCAGAAATATGGAAGTTGATGATCCAAAATACATGGATGTTGCGAATCAGGTGATAAGTTATGCCAGTGGTCTTCCTTTAGCCCTTGAGTTAATAGGCTCTGATTTGTATGGTAAGAATGTAAGTGAGTGGGAATCTATGCTAGATGGATGTAAAAGAATCCCTCATGATAAGATTCAACAAATATTAAAAGTAAGTTATGATGGGTTAAAACAACTTGAAAAAGATGTTTTTCTTGACATTGCTTGCTTCTACAAAGGGATTGGATTGGAATATGTCAAAAAGATGATAGCAACTGTTCATGATTTTGATCCATATTATCATATTGGAGTGTTGGTAGACAAATGCCTCATAAAGATTGATAGCACCAATTGTATTACAGTTGATTGTATTGAAATGCATGAACTAGTGCAAGATATGGGGAGAGAGATAGTTCGTCTGGAATCACCAAAAGGTCCAGGAAAACGCAGTAGATTATGGTCAAGTAAAGATATCCTGCGTGTTTTGGAGAGAAATGAAGTAAGTCTAACACTAATTGGAATTATCTACTTCTTTTCTTATTACAATTAATGAGATTTATATTTATTTGATTTTAATGTAGAAAGATACTGCTTAGAATTCAAAAAAAAAGACCAGGCCGTATGCAAGGAATTTCAATAAGATTAAGGCAAAGCTTGACTTGATTGATTTCTAAAGTTTAATTTATTGTGCTCATTATGTCGTGGTTTTAATTTTAAATGAGGATTTATAGATGTTTTTGTGGTATTTAATATTCTCAATATTTACTTTATGATTTAATATTTAATGGCTAAAACATATAAACGCAAAAAATCATCAGCCTAAAGGATAAGAAATTATGGGGATTTGTGTTATATATTTTGTTATAGAATTCATTTTCTGGTTCAGTAGTATTGCATCATATTTCATTGTGACTACTTTTCTTTGATGACAAAAAAATTTCGTTTCTATTTATAGCTTATAAGGGTGAAAATGAATCAAAGTTAGCACCATAATACAGGACAGTCTGTTGGAATCTATAAAGTAAAACTTAGATATTTACGATATTTTTGTCCAATCAAATTGAAAACAATTATTTTATTAATTTTGTAATAAAAACTATCAATGTATTTAAAATTTTCAAGACTACTTGTTTTAATTTAATTGTACAAACTAAATTAGTTGAACTACCTGATTTTTTTTCTGAGATAAATTGTGACGGAGAAGCTTAATTTTGGTAATTTAAATTTTTGAGAAAACCCCCAAATATCTTTTAAGAATTTTAAGGTGTGAAATGATTTGGATATCCTCTATCTTATCGGTCTTGGTATTTGTTCATAGCTGCTTGTCAGGGGAGCAATTAGGGTGGTTGCCCCTTACATCAATTTTAAAGTACTGAAAGCATATAATTCATCTCAGTGATTGATATATATGCGAAAAGAATATTATTTTTATATATAAAAAAGAATTAAGAAAAATCGCATGGCTCAATCATCAATTTGCATTGTTTGCTATCTGCTTCATCATTTTGATTTTGATTTCGATTTTTTTTTTCATCGTTTTGTTTTATGATATGTTTATCACTATTTATTACTCATATAACTATAGCATGGAAACCCTTAACATTTCTGGAGCTTCGAATATGTAATTTTTTTTCTATGCACTATTATACATATATGAAAGTGCTAATGTTTTGTTATTTTCTTTTATTTTTGGTTTAAAAGGGCACAGATGAAGTTATTATCATAATTCAAGTTGAAAGGTCTAAATGCATAGAAGTATAATGGAATGGAAAAGCCTTCAAGGGTATGAACAATCTCAAAATTCTTATTCTTGAGAATACAAAATTTTCACAAGGTCCCAGATATCTCCCCAATAGTTTAGCGGTGTTGAGATGGAGAGGATATCCTTCATCAAGTTTGCCACGTGGTTTTTGTCCAAAGGATCTTGTTGAATTCAATGTGAGAGATAGTTGTTTCAATTCAATGGAAATCAGTAAGGCAAGTAAAGCACCCCTAATATTATATGTATTTATTTGGTTTGCTAGCTTGTATTTGATCATTTGTTTAATTAGACTTTACATATGGTTTTGGTTATTGCAGATAATGCAGAATGTGAAAGTTTTAAACTTTGAAGGGTGCGAGTATATCAGGCACATACCTAATTTATCTGACCTCTCAAGTTTAAAGGAGTTACGGCTTCGTAATTGCAAAAATTTGATTGAAATTGATAATTTAGTTGGGCAATTAGCAAAACTTGAAACTTTGAATGTACGTAATTGTAGCCAGCTTACGAATTTTCCAAGTGAATTGAATACACCCTCTCTTCGTGATTTGAATCTTAAGAATTGCTCAAGTTTGAATTACTTTCTGGAAATAGTAACTCGTGAAATGAAAATATCAGAGTTGAAATTGGTTGGAACTGGTATAAATCAGCTGACTTCATCAGTTGCAAATCTTACTCAACTCATACACATAACACAGATTGGAAATGACACTGCGGGCAAGGGAATTAGGTCAATGAAGCTACCAAGTAGCACGTTTTCGCTGCCAAAACTTGGAAGTATATATGTTGAAGGATGCGAAGAGCTGCTTATGGAAGTAGAGTCAATATGTCCAAGCATATGGAATCTTCAACTACAAAGATGTAATTTATCCAATGAGAGCCTTCATATTTATCTTACTTCATTCCCCAATGTTAGGTTTTTGGACTTGAGCGGCAGTGATTTCACAATTTTGCCCGCGTGCATAGAAGATTGTCAAAATTTGAGTCAACTTAAGCTAGATGAATGCAAGCATCTAATAGAAGTGGAAAAGGTTTCGCCTAGCATACGAGATTTGACGGCAGGAGACTGTGTATCATTGAGTTCACAGTCCAAAAATTTATTGTTGAGTAAGGTCAATTTCTGTCTCTGCTTTTCTGATATTCATACCCAAAAAGTTCTACATATATATATATAACTTCATTTCTGTGACTCACAGGAATTACTTGCATCTGTAGTACCCATCAACATTGAACTTCAAGATTTTCTTGATGACGATTTTAGAGAATATTTTTGTGCGCCAGGAGGAAGCATCCCAGAATGGTTTGATCATTGTAACAAAGGACCATCCGTTTCTTTTTGGTTTCGTGACCACCCTCCATCTCTTTGTGTTTGTGCTATTGCTCAACCAATGAGGAATCACGATTGGGTCCAAACAGAAGTGTTCAAAAATGATGAAATGGCATATGAATGTTACCTGGGGGGCTTGACTACGGGATATGATGTCGATCATATAATTATGCATTATATATGGAATTTCCAAATAGATGGTGAAATTAAAGAAAATCAATGGAATCATGTAAATATTTGTCCACTTTTAGAGTTTGGAGATGCCGTAAAAGAGAGCGGAATCTATGTACTCAGAGATGAATGGACCAATATGGAAAATGTCCGATTCACTGATCCTTTTCAAAGTTTGGATTTTTGGAGAAGTGACCAAGGTAAAGTATGATCGCCATTCTTTTTAAATTAATGTAATTTAATTAGATGCATGCAAATTCTGAAAATTTCAATAGAATCATTACGAGCACATGTATGAGTATATATGAATGAACGAATATCTTTGTGTGCGGGTTAATTCCTTTAACGTTTCTCTTTTTTTCATCATCATCATCATCATCATCATCATCATCATCATCATCATCATCATCATCATCATCATCATCATCATCATAATAATAATAATAATAATAATAATAATAATAAATATCTTTTTTCTTTCCACTTATAGATGACATAGCAAGTTCATGATTTTTGGATTTGTTTAACATCATCAAGCTAAGTCATATGGCATTTCACTTCTAGCTAGTGAACTATGTTTCAATTTATTACGTTCAGATTTCAATTGCAATTTAGATGCCAAAAAAAATAAAAAAGGAAAAGAAACTGTCTGATGAAGAAGCATGAAAACAATGTAAACTCAACTCAAACACATTCTCCCAATGCTAATAATCTTCATGACTCTATCATTCATATGCATGCGTATATGTGTGAGTAGCATCAATAATGTATAAGATTTTAGGGATTATTATTATTATTATTATTATTATTATTATTATTATTATTATTATTATTATTATTATTATTATTATTATTATAACTTAGGTATGAGGTAAATGAAATAAAATTAACAATATAATGCTTGCAAAGTGCTCTACTACTTACTAAGGTACTTTGCATTAACTAATGGCTACTTTAATATTATATTGCAGGATGTGCTATAGAAGGTGACACTTCTACAAATAACCCTTTCTTCCCTTCCCAAAGTGAGCAACAACATACACACTCACATACTGTTAGGGACATTGACTCATTAAGACTACTATCTGTAAAGTGCAGGAGAATTATATTTCCTATCACAATTCATACGGATAGTGGGATGATGGGTTCTCAATTAGAATATGATTTCTATATTACTGAGCAAGATGTCAGGAAATTCCTAAGCATGCAAGAGCTGTCCATAACCATTATCCAACTCTTTGTGAGGTATGTAACTTTGTTCTCATTTCTAGACTGAACATATGTATGTATTTAGCTCTCTCAGACAACTCACATATTGGCACCCAATTTCATAGGTTTTGCTAAGACCTTTGCTCCTTTAGAGGAATTGTTGGCAGATTTGGATTTTTGTGTCCAAATGCTATTCAAGGTGTAGGGCATACACGAGAAGATAAGATATCTTACATAGGAAGCACTATCAAGAAAGGCAATAAGCAATGTTGGCTTGCACTGATTCGTGAAGGGTGAGAAGTTTTCACTATTAATATGTA